TTAACCACTTACTGTGCGCCCCTGTTTTTGAGCATTTTCTGAAAAACGTCATACCCAAATAAAAATGTCTGTAGCTCTTGAACCCTATGGTCTATATTTATAAATCTGGTATTGTTTGAAACTAGACACTTGAACCTTTGTTACTCAGTCATAATAACTCAAAATTAGTATAGCAACAGAGTAAAACAAGGTAAAATGTACATGAAAGTGACTCACGATATCTTTGAATGAAATTCACTAATGGAAAAATGGATGAGGCTTTCATGCCAAATGCCTGAAAACACCATAAAGATAAAGCTGAATGTCTGACCATATTTTGATTCAAATTTGAAGATGATACTCCCAAAAATGTAGCATCTGTAAACTTTAAAAAAAAAAAAAAAGTCTAGGCGTCCTTTCAAAAAAGCCATTTGGAGACGCCAAATGGACACCTGGTAACCAAATGACCAAATGAGGCAGAGTTGCATTTATGAACAGCAATGATACAGTGTTTCCTTGGTTACCGCTGTAAACAAAGCAGAGCTGCGCTTATGAACAGCAATGATACAGTGTTTCCTTGGTTACCGCTGTAAACAAAGCAGAGCTGCGCTTATGAACAGCAATGATACAGTGTTTCCTGGGTTACCGCTGTAAACAAAGCAGAGCTGCGCTTATGAACAGCAATGATACAGTGTTTCCTGGGTTACCGCTGTAAACAAAGCAGAGCTGCGCTTATGAACAGCAATGATACAGTGTTTCCTGGGTTACCACCGTAAACAAAGCAGAGCTGCGCTCTTTATTCACAGACTCATTTATTCATATTGTGTAATACAATGACTGACATGGACTTATTTATATAGACTTCATATTTTCTTTGCCTTTTTCAGGTTTTCATAGCACAAACTAATTTATTATCTGAAACAGTCCAAAAATGGCTGGGTCTGGGACGCAAAGGCAGCTTTTTCCACCTTTTGACCACAAGATGTCGTTAGTGTGCACCGTTTTGAAAAGCTTTGAGTAATGAACCTTTTTACGATACAGTTGAGGGAAATGCCTCGGTGCTTCGCAAAGCTTCATTTTTCCATCACTACCATTCATTATTTCCATTCCCGCCTTCATCCACATCAAACATTTTGTTCTCCATTTCCGGATCACTTCCGGAACCTACGCCACTTCCTACCATGCACTCTCCAGTCACAGATCAGCTGTGGCCAAACCGCCCAGAAACTACCGTCAGCTCGCTGCCCGAGCCCAGAGTCCCAGTGCTCGTCAATCCGAGAAACCAGATCATCTCCTGAAATTAACTTTTATATCTGTGTTGTGGTGCGTTATGGGATGTTGGAGAAACCAAACTAGAGGATAAAATGGATTTTTGTTGTTTCAAAATTTAATTACTGTAACTATGCATAAATGTCTGTTAAATAATAATTTGTGGATTAATTAATGCATGTACAAAAAGTTATTTGATGAATATAATTTCTGGTCGCTTGCTTCCCCATCAATGGTTGTGCCCATAAGTATAAATGCTCACAAGCTGAAGTTTCACAGGATTGTCAGTGTAAGATGCAGGTTTGAAAGTAAATAACCTGTTGGAGATTGATATCATTGTGAGTGAGAATATCTTGTTAATGTTGTTTTTTTATTGTACTTTATTTTTTAATTATTTACCTTGCTTTAGTGATGGGCAAATGAAGCCTCATGAAGCACTTAGACTGTTTCGGAAAAAGATTCAAAGCTTTGAGAGTGTCAAAAACAGGGCCATCTGGTGGTTAATAAGAAATATAGCAGCCAAAAGCCTGTGAAAGCCGTTCCGTCAGACTAAGCAGCAACCACAAATTCCATCAACTCATGTTACCTGCACAAATAAAAGCCTAACAGTGTGTTTGTGTTTGTTTGTTTGTTGAATCTCTCTCTCTGACAAAATAATTTACCCATTAAACTGTGGCATTTAATGCCAGTAATAAAATCAATATGATGTAATAGAAGAATAATGCACAAATATATGCATTGCATATGGCAAATATTTAGTTTTTTTCTGAAATAATTTTTATTCTTCATATTACTTGTATAACTGGGTATTTAATTGAATAAGTCTGAATGAAAACTTATGTAAAGTAAGATCTGGGGAACATTCCGACACACGCACATGATTGGAAAGAAAGTGAGGTTTCATTTTTCGTTGATCATGTGATTCTCTGAAAACAATACGCGCTCCGGCACAGAGCTTCGTGAGAAATTGCACTGCGTACTCGATACACGCTTTGAAGCTTCAGTGTCATATGTAACATCACTACCTTGCTTATATAATTGTGATTTTAATGGTACTAAAACATCTAACACATGGGGTGGTTCAGTCCTGCAGAGTTCAGCTCCAACCCTGATCAAACACACCTGAACCAGCTAATCAAGGTCTAAGGCAGGGTTCCTCAAATCTTACCCTGGAGGGTCAATGCGCTGCAGAGTTTAGCTCCAACCCTAATCAAACACACCTGAACCAGCTAATCAAGGTCTAAGGGTTTCTAGAAAGCTACAAGCAAGTGAGTTTTTGTCTGCATGTGCAGTTTGAGTGTGTGACACAGCTGTTAAGAGCTGCATCAAGAGAAACCACCTCAGAGGAGAGTATTCAGCATGTATTGTGAATGCATGTTTCCGTAACTGTTTCAGTTTCACTATTGTTTATTTATTTATTTTTTATCAATTTCAGTTAGGACTCAATGCTGGCACATTCTGAAGGAACTTGATTATTTTTGTTCACAAACGATCTGTGCGCTTGAGGATTAATAGTTAATTGCAATTTCAAATGCTTCGTTATTGTTGGAAATGGGTGAGTAACATCCAGAAATTCACCCACATAAAGCTTGTATATATTTATTTGCTTCTGAGCAGTGTTGAAACATAATGGTTTAAATTGTGGATGCTAACCAAATGCAGTGGTTGCAGAGCATTGCTGTGCATGTGATTAATCTGAGTAAAGCGCTATTTTTTTTAAATTTTTTTTTTGTTAAACCCTTGATATTCAACATCCTCAATGTTGTGGTGAACTGTACAAACTGGAATTGATAAGAGTAAATGTGTTTTTATGTAAATTATGCTATAACATCATATGCAGAAAATTTCTGTTTTAAAATGTCATCTCAAATGGTCAACAGTCCCTTAAGTCTGGTATTAAAAACATCTGACCGTGCCAAAGGAGCTCTTACCCACACCTGGCAAGGTAAGAGTACTCCAATAGATTTTACCTAACCTAAGCTCAGATATCAGATAGATGGGGTGCCCCAAACTTACTGACAAAAATTGATCCATCTAACAATGTGCACACTAAAGCGTTTCAGAGATGGTTCATTCATGGCTGCATTGATAACTGCTTGTTTATTTACCACTTGTGACTCTGTTTGAGTTAACACACTCCGCATGTCTGCTGTGCATTTAGATTTTTGTCTGATTGATACTATTGATTGTCCCAAAGCTGACTTCATTCCAGCTGTAGCCACACTGTCCTCTGGTCGAATCGAGGTCTCAGTCAAGCTTAACATGAGCAAAGCAACACTTTCCTCTCAACTAGGGGTGTAACGGTACCAGGGACGCGGGAAGTAGGGGTGCTGAGGGGGCTGCAGCACCCCCTGTTTTCCCATGGTTGACAATGCAACGGCAAGTTTGTTCACTTAAATTTATTCAGTTTTAGCATTTAATTTATTTGTAATGATCTCTGAAATGTAAATTGTAAGTGGGCTATAATAAACCCATGTTTATCTTTATAAACATGATTAATTTTACTTGTGATGTTTTCTATATGGGATGATTAGCCTAATCCTCATGAACACGTGACTCTAAAACATCTTCCCGCGCCCCTGAACGGTACACATTCGTTTTTTTTTTCTTTCTTCCAGGTAATTCAAATAATAAATGGCGTTTTGACAGTCTTTGATGTGGCATGACAGATCGCTGCATAAACGCCGTGGAGAGTCGCTTCTGGGACGTTTCAGAAACGTGCTGGTATAAACCCAACACAAGCATTGACTAGAGCGGCCGTGATCAGCTCTGGTTCTGTGTCGAGCCGTAATGTGCAACAGACTTGTGCAGTGGAAATGGCAGAGCGGAGAGCAAGGGAACGCGATCATTCATTCCTCTGTGCTACTAGTTTTACCGCGAATAAACATGACTGAACATCTCACGCCTCATGTAATTGCTCAATCAGCGTTTCAACCGCGGAAAGACATCAACAAAACGGCGTGGAAATAAAATGTCACGTAGCATTTATTTAATCTCAGCAAAGTCATCAGTGTCCACAGCTCGTTAGTTCACTAGAGAAATTAGCAGCATTTCGCGAAATATTACACCATATAGGCTACTCATTATATTTTACTAAACCTGTTAGTCTTAATTCCTTTAATTATAAATGCCTCACTTCAGCTCACAGATGGATATGATTTCAACAATCATAGTAGGCAAATCTCACAGTGTTCCTGTTGCACCTCTAGAAACATCAGTTGCAAATGCAGCTTTGAATTGTTTGCTTTGTTCCAGTGCGGTCCTGACAGTGTTAATAGTGGTTCCTTCTGGGAAATCAACAGCTGCTGAGGTGAGTCGTCCTGTGATTCTTAATATTTACTACACTGTGTATATTGCACTCTTTACTGGGTCAAACCATGTTCCCCAGAAAGCTTTGTGGTGGAGAATGACCCTTTATTTCAGTCAATGCTAGGTAGTGCGTAGAGTCAGTCACCTGCAGGTGCAAATCCACTGCTGCTGAGCTCAGATATCAGATAGATGGGGCGCCTCAAACATTGAGACAGGAGATTATAGCAGTGAGCACAAGCACTGTTTTATTGTTTTCTTTAGGTTTGTGATTGGTGTTTTTAAAAAAAAATTTAAACCTTGTTCAAAAGAGTCTGCATAAAACACAACATTCCTTGAAACTACAGTGTAATTTGACATCAGCATTCTTATAGTTGGTGGAATGTGTTGTGTTTATAGTGCAGGACTGTCCTGTTTGATCCATTTTGTAATGCTTGCGTGGTTTGTATTTTTGCAGCTCTGCTCTTGTAATATCCATTGATTGATTGTTCCAGTGTAGGGAGTACTTCAAGCTCCCTTGTTTCAGCAATGCTGAGTGCGCTAGGCTCCCTTGTTGTGCTCTTAGAGGTTGTCTCTGCTTGTGTCGCCTTTGTTTCCAGTTCTGCTAATGCTCCATATACTGTCTTCTACAGGCCTGCCAGAGTCTGTCCATGCAGGTGGTCCTTCAGGGGCTCTTAGCAAGTAGCATGCCAGGGTTATCCGGATTTCCTGGCTCTCCAGATGCTCTTTACACTGTTAATACTTACTGTGCATCCCAGCTGCATCTGTTATTGGTGAGATAAGCAAGAGAATGCCAAGATACTCCAGCTTTATTAGCTTTCCAGGGCAGCCAACTCTGCCTTCGTAGTGACCTCTGTTGAGTCCAACTTGGGTGTTTTCTTCATTGGGCTCATTCCACCACTGGCTTAGCCTGGACATTACAACACTCAATCCAGCTTTTCTCCTTTTCAATGGAGGCAGAAGTACACATCACATCTCAGTCATTTTTTTTTTTTTTTGTGCAAGGATGAATATTTCTTGAGACTAGTAACCTATTTATGTTCAGTGAACCTTTTTTTTTTTTTTTTTGTCTTTGCCTAAGTGGATGAGTGGTGCTTTATTCATTTTAGATAGCCATGGTTGTGTTTTATTTATGGTAATGTCGTTGTTTATGTAGCGTTGTTTTATTGTTAGTGTTTGAATAAAACAGAGTTGGAGGTGTAATCTTTGTTTTGTCTTTTTTTTTTTTTTTTTTTTTTTTTTTTTTTTTTTTTTTTTTTTTTTTTTTTTTTTTTTTTTTTTTTTTTTTTTTTTTTTTTTTTTTTTTTTTTTTTTTTTTTTTTTTTTTTTTTTTTTTTTTTTTTTTTTTTTTTTTTTTTTTTTTTTTTTTTTTTTTTTTTTTTTTAAATAGGGGTAGGGATTTTAGATCCAATAATCAGAACAAAGTCCAATTATGGTTTATGTACGGTCCGTCGACCCAACTGGCCACCAATCTGCAGCTTCCAGAGAGAAATATTTTTTTGCTTATGCAAAAAATTCCCAAAGGGCCCAGAAGACTAGTGGCTATCTCTCTTAGGTTTCCACAACCCAAGTGGTTGGTAAGCTTAGGGCGTGTGGTGTAGTGCACGTTTCCTAGAAGAAAGAAATACTGAGCACATCCCATCATCGATATAGATGAAGGAAATAATTTTTATGTGGCTCTCTACATCACCCAGACTCATGATGGAGGCCGAACGTTGTGTGTTCAAGCCTATCGCGATGTTTAGGACTCTGTGATCCTTCCTCAGGCGAGCTCTGAACACTAAATGGCTGGAATTCTCTACAGCAGCCATGTATGTACTGTTTTTCTAAGGGGGACGTTGTGTGTTCAAGCCTATCGCGACGTTTCGGACTCTGTGATCCTTCCTCAGGCGAGCTCTGAACACTAAATGGCTGGAATTCTCTACAGCAGCCATGTATGTACTGTTTTTCTAAGGGTTAGGGTTAGGTTTTGAAAAATTAGGGTTAGGGTTAGACATATAGATAAAAACGAGTTTCACCCTCATTAATTCGACCCTCATTAGCATATGCGATCTGATTGGCCAGGGTTAGGTTTTGGAAAAGTACAACAGATCCCCCCAACCTAGCACCCGTCTAGGCAGGTTTGGAATAGGGAGACTGTGGAGAGGTGCACGGGCCCACGCATGTTAGATTATACCACTTAGGCTGTTGATCAACTCCTGTCTGGGAGATGCCTCCTGGGCATCGGGCCTAGGCACAATGGTGGAAAAAGTAAAATATCTTGCCCATATGGTTACAATAGGTAGGATTTAGGGCCGCGTATGGAACCAGACTCTATTTCTGATCAAGGTTATAGGAAACAACTAAGTTATTTGCCCATCAATCCATAGGGGTTAAATTTAGGGCAGTGTTTAGTACCGGGTTAGGTTTATCTAGAGTCAGACCAAAAAGTGTCTGGCCCACAGGGCTACAGTGGTTAGGTTTTGGGTGCGGTTTGGTCCAGGTCTTTATTTAGTACCAACTAGGTATGGGAATGCAAAGTTCCTGAAT